CACTTTTACAAAAGTTTCGCATTTGTAATACGATTGACGCGAATAAATATAAAATCAAATTATTTCACGTTTTCAATGATGTTATAAATGAGACGAATATACTGTTTGTCACAATTGATGATAAGGCCTATGGGTTGGGCTGTAATTATAGCGGATGTCTGGGTTTGGGTCACGAGATTGAGGTGAAGACACCCCAACTTATACCCGAATTATGCGGACAACTGATCAAAAAATACATAAATGGCTGGGACTTTGTGCTGGGCGTTAATGAGGACAACCATGTGTTCAGTTGTGGACACAAATCCGAGGGACAGTTGGGTAGAGAAGTGACAGAATTTGGTATTCATTTAAAACCGGAAAACATATCCCATTTGTTTCTTGTCGTTCGACAAGAATATCACACAAATCAGTTGCGGTTATAACCACTCCCTGGCCCTCACCACCGGTGGACAGGTGTACGGGTGGGGCAGTAATTATGACGGTCAAATTGGTACTGGTGATAAGGAACATGATAAAATATATTCACCAATTTTAATAGAGTTTGAAAATAATTATAAAATCCAAAGTATTTTCTGTTTTAATTATAATTCATTTGCTATTACTATCGATGGTTTGGTGTACAGTTGGGGTGACAATAAATTTTGCCAATTAGGACACCATGCACCATGGTGGGTTAAATTCACGGATACAGAAGTTTACCAAGGTAAATAATTTGTTTATATTTAATTTAAAATATAATATTAAATACTACTAACCAATAACAATGTGACATTGTCAATTCCACATTCAAAAATGTATTGTAAATTTTTTAAGGACTCACCCAAAACTTTTAGAACCCTAAAGGCCTAAAGCCTAAAAGGCCTAATCCCGAAATGGCCTAAACTTCTATAACTAATTGACCAATGGTCATTTGACTTTACAGTATTCTACTAATAAATATATCCACTGGTCAATTAATTATTTGAGTTTATACCTTTTAGGTTTTAAAGCATTTTGGGTTTAGGCTTTTTGGGTTTTAGACTTTTATGGGGTAGAACAGTTATTATCTACTTAAAATGTGATTGATTATAATTGCCTTTTATTTTAGATGCCATTTGGTCACCCAAACTGATCCCAGAATTACATGATATTAAATCAATCAGTTCTACGCAAACAGGAGATAATCATTTCACTTGTTTCCTATCAAATAATAATTCCGTATATTTTTGCGGACAATATATTGATAGGTATAGGTGCAACCAAGTACAAACCACCCCGATGAAAATGATAGTAAACCTAAATGCTCAGCAATTGAATGAGTTTCACTCATATTTTAATGACAACCGACTAACAATGATAAGTGATAATATAGTTTGCGAGATAATTACACCGGTTAATATGAGACAGTACCATTATAGTGATTTTAGTGAATTCTATGCAATTGAATATAAAATTAGTTATAATACGCTATATGTTAACCAAAACATTGGCAACAATTTCAAGGAAATTAATGTTGAATTAAATGAAAATTTAGAGCAAACACATGAAAATCATGATTCAAATCAGGGTATTATTTTGGACATTATAATTGCAATAATAATTATATGAATACTGGTATATTAATGATTAATTTATTTTTATAAAGTAATTTCGTCATTAGAAAATATTAATAACTCGTGTGAAAGTCATTACGAAAGTCTGTTCATTGAAATGTTGGTCATCGGGTCGGGAGGTTTTGGCACTGTATACAAAGTAATGCATAAACTCGATGATCAGATATGTGCCATAAAATGTGTTTTTGAGGGTAAAAAAATTTAATTAAGTATAATATATAAATTATAATTAGTTTTAAATAATTCAGAATTGATTGAAGAAAATAAGATTAAAATTCTTAATGAAGTGAAAAATTTGGTAAAAGTTCGCTCGGAATATGTGGTCCAGTATTACAACTCATGGATTGAAGGGAATATACTTTACATTCATATGGATTACTGCTCACAGAATTTGCGAAATTTTCTCAAAATCAAAGTAAATTTATTTGGCCGACAATTAGGAGAAGTCATACATTGTGTCGAGTATTTTATTTCGTGTGAAATATTTCGTCAAATCTTAGAAAGTGTTCAGTATTTGCATGAATTGAATCCACAGATCATTCACAGAGACCTCAAACCAGAAAATACTTTGGATTTTATAATTATTTTCAAACTCTATTAAAATTGGTGAATATCATGAATTGAATCCACAGATCATTCACAGAGACCTCAAACCAGAAAACATATTAATCGCTGAAAATGTAAAGAACGGGAGATTTGTTAAGTTATGTGACTTTGGTGTGGCGGTCGAGCACCAGTCCGACTCTCAAAGTCATACCAAAAATGTGGGAACTTTTAGATATATGGCACCAGAATTGAGTCAAACAAAATACACGATAAAGGCGGACATTTATAGCCTGGGTATTATTGCATTGGATTTGTTTAATGTATCATTGGAGTATGTATAAAATATTCTTTTGAGTTATACTTATTTTATATTAAATATATTTATAATAATTCAGCGACCTGGATAAGTATTCTGATAGCCCTTTTAAAAGGAATATAAAATATATTTTTGAGATATTCAATTCAATGGTCAACTACAACCCTAATGAACGACGTGGGTGCAATTCCATAATAGGATTCTCTCATAAATGGTCACTCAGCAAGGACATTATTGATTCAAATATTAATGAATTTACTCAATTTGATAATCAAGTCGACTCTGATGAGTATTCAATATTTAAACAAATAATCTTGACTAAATTAAATATTGGAAATATTAACATAATAAATCACCAAAGAGGTAATAAAATATTTACCCTCGCTCTAATTAGATAAGTTATGAGAATAATTTATATTATTAGATACAACGGGTAGTGTAAATACTATTAGAGAAAAATTTGAAAAATTGGCACATGATAAGCGAAAGTAATTGATCATGCGAATAATTAATGAAACTTTTGGGTAAATGATTTTTAAATAAATGTTAAATTATTTAATTAACAGTTTTTATTGTAAACAATTATTAAATAGTTATATTAAATAAACAGTATTTCTAGTTTAAAATATGAATTTAAAATATTTTTTATACAGGCACCATTATAACAGACTTATAACTTCGGACAAAATATCAGAACGTTTTAACGTAGATTTCTATTTTTTATATACTATACATAACCTGATTTAGCGCATAGTAACTACACTTAAATTATAATACATGTTTGTATAGCGAACACTACGTAACTATAGTAATACATTTGCATTAAATACCATAGCATAGCAATAATAAAATAACCATTCATGCCAAATTACTACTTTATTAGTAATTGTTTTATAACCTTTAAAAAGTGAATCACAATATGCATTGAAAATTGAGTCTGTGATCATAAAAATGACTCAATTTGTTTGCCACTTTTGAACAATTTGAAAATAACAAAATCAAAAATATTGTTTGTTTTGATTATAAATCATTTGCTATTACTATCGATGGTTTGGTATTCAGTTGGGGGCGATAATAGTGATCACCAATTGGAACATGATCATATTTCAAATAACATTTTATCACACAAATTAATCTCAAAGTTAATAGATATTAAATCAATCATATGATTCATATCACTTAATAACGACTCAAATTATTTAACAAAATAATACAATTTTTTTGTGATAAATGGAAACAAAATATAAACAATGTAAATTAGAATTCATCAAGATAAAATTAATAGTCAATGAGAATCATTGTTTTAATCATGAGTTTATTAATAATAACTGTTATTAACATTTAGTGTTTTATAGTTACAATAATTGCAGATTATTGCAGTATGATAATATACAATTAAAAATTAAAAATGTGTTTTCATAATTAATTTACACTGTAATAAACACAATAATACTTAAAAATTAAATTATAATAAAATAACAAAAATAAATTATCATTGAAATATCTAAGCATTTAATTTAATTAAGATTTCTATCACAAGAAAATAATGAAAGCCTTTTTATGTGTTAATTCCGGTTATTGTCTCAAAAACACTTTCACTGAACACACAAACAGTCATTCATTGACACAATTAACACACAATTGTTTTCATACAATACAATACGTTATGTTATCAAAGTTATGCGATAATATTATTTGGTAATATTATTTACCTAGGATACCTATTGATATCCCGATTTAATAAGAAGCTATTTTTAGTATTGCTAATAATTACGAACTATTGTTTTAATTTATTTTAATTAATAATTAAAGGTATTTTCATTAATGTTATAAACATTTAAAGATATTTTCTAGAATAATATATAATATATTAGAAAAGTGTTATAAAAAATACTATTAGAAAATGTGTTCACTTTTGGATAAGTTTTGTATTTGCCGTTATTTACACTGTAATAAACACAATAATACTTAAAAATTAAATTATAATAAAATAACAAAAATAAATTATCATTGAAATATCTAAGCATTTAATTTAATTAAGATTTCTATCACAAGAAAATAATGAAAACCTTTTTATGTGTTAATTCCGGTTATTGTCTCAAAAAACACTTTCACTGAACACACAAACAGTCATTCATTGACACAATTAACACACAATTGTTTTCATACAATACAATACGTTATGTTATCAAAGTTATGCGATAATAGTATTGGTAATATTATTTACCTAGGATACCTATTGATATCCCGATTTAATAAGAAGCCATTTTTAGTATTGCTAATAATTACGAACTATTGTTTTAATTTATGTTAATTAATAATTAAATGTATTTTCATTAATGTTATAAACATTTAAAGATATTTTCTAGAATAATATATAATATATTAGAAAAGTGTTATAAAAAATACTATTAGAAAATGTGTTCACTTTTGGATAAGTTTTGTATTTGCCGTTGTATTTTCATTAATGTTATAAACATTTAAAGATATTTTCTAGAATAATATATAATATATTAGAAAAGTGTTATAAAAAATACTATTAGAAAATGTGTTCACTTTTGGATAAGTTTTGTATTTGCCGTACGATTGACACTGATTTCAGGTCCGAAATCAAATTATTTCACGTTTTCGGTGACAATAATCACGAGAAAAATATATTGTTTGTAACAAACAGTGACTTTGTTTACGGTTTGGGTAGTAATGTCAGGGGGTGTCTGGGTTTGGGTCACGAGAATGTCGTCAAATATCCCGAAATTATTGCCAAATTATTTGAGCAAAAAATACAAACATTTATCACTGGATACGACTTTGTGTTGGCTATGAATGAAAACAACCATGTGTTCAGTTGGGGACACAATCATAGGGGACAGTGCGGTAGAGATGTGACACAAAGTGGTGTTTATTTAACACCGGAAAACATATCGCATTTGAATGACAAGAATATTACATATATCTGTTGCGGTCGCTACCACTCGCTAGCACTCACCACCGGTGGACAGGTATACGGGTGGGGCTGTAATTCGGAGGGACAGGTAGGTTGCGGTGATGATGACAAAAATCACGCCATCTGTTCGCCAGTGTTGATCAGATTTGATAATAACTATAAAATCAAAAGTATTTTCTGCTCGGACTTTACATCATATGCCATTACCATCGATGGCCTGGTATTCAGTTGGGGCGACACTTTCTGGCATCAAATGGGACCCAACGGTACTCGTTATATATTGTCACCCAAACTGATCCCGGAATTAAATAATATTAAATCACTCAGCATAAAAAACAATGGCATTGATCATTTTACATGTTTCCTATCGTATAATAATTACATATATTTTTGCGGCCTATATCACCAAGATACCAATCACGACCAAAATCGACCTATAAACATGATTGATCAAATGACCCCGATACAAATTGCGCATAATCTGAATGTGCAACAATTTGATGCATATAGCTCATATTTTAAAAACGATCAAGTCATAATGCTAAATAATGATGATACAATCTACGAGATTATATCGCCAAGCGAGTTTCAAAAATGCGACCATGATAGTTTTGTGGATTTCTATGCTAATGAATATCAGTTAAGTTATAATACAATGCGCGCGAACACAAATACTGACCCTGAAGTTAATGCAAATATATCGCCATTAAACAAGTTATTAAATTTGTTGACAAATGAAAATCATACGGGAAAAGAAGGTATTAAAAAGTATTTGTAAAAACAAACTGATCATTTATACCCTGCTAGTCTAAAATTTCTGAAAATTATGTATAATATCATAAAATTGAAATGACCAGGTTGTTTTATGTGGTCAAGTATAAACAGGTAGTAGATTTAAATTCTGCTTTAATAAAACTTATTCAATATAGCCATATTAAATTATGAACTAAAAGTACTATCCGTTTATGTCGACCACATAGCTAGATCAATTTACAGTATTATGCATTTTATTACAGTATCGCTATCACCAGATAAATCCTTTGAGACACTCATGAAAGCGTTAGGGCTATCAACGCAAGGTATGGGCGCTTTTGGACAAACAAAACCTGTGCCCAAATCTGATGATACATTCCAAGAGAACCAAGAATTGCGTGACAAAGGCTATGAAACGCTTATGACGGGACTGTCGGGTATCGCGTCGAGAGGTTTCGATGAATCGAGTGGCGCCAACATTGACCGCCTTATAGAGGGTATGTCGGCTATGCGCGCCGGAGGTTTTGCCACAAATAATGCAGCACATACTGGTCAAGAGACCATGATACAATATGATACAAATTGTATGCAATCGACAAATCCGATATCAAAGCAAAATACGCGTAATGCGAATGAAGGTAATGATCGTTTCAAACAATTGTTTTTAATAATATTTTAATAGTTTAAAATTTATAATTTAGGAAAATATCCGCTGGAAAGTCATTTCAAAAGTCTGTTCACCGAGTTGTCGGCCATCGGTTCGGGAGGTTTTGGGACTGTGTTTAAAGTGAAGCATAGATTAGATGAACAGATATATGCCGTCAAAAGAGTCCAAATTAAGAGTATATTTATATTAATAAATAAAACTTTATTTATTGATAAAATTGATTAATATTACAGAATCTACCGATCAGTATATGAAACAAATTCTGAATGAAGTGAAGAATTTAAGAAAACTTCGCTCGGAATATGTGGTCCAGTATTACAGCTCATGGGTTGAAGGGAATGCGCTCTACATTCAGATGGAGTTCTGTTCACAGAATTTACGAAATATTCTGGAACTGAAACCACAAGTATTTGGTCGACAATCAGGAGAACCTATGGATTTTGTCGAGTATTTCATTTCGTGTGAAATATTGCGACAAATCATAGAAAGTGTTCAGTATTTACATGAATTGAATCCACAGATCATTCACAGGGATCTCAAACCTGAAAACATATTGATTGACACGAATGCAGGCAACGGCAGGTTTATTAAGTTATGTGACTTTGGATTGGCTGTCGAACATCTAACCCCATCTCATAGTCACACCAAAAATGTGGGAACCGCTAAATATATGGCACCAGAATTGTATCAATCAAAGTATACATTCAAATCTGATATTTTTAGTTTGGGTATTATCTCAATGGAATTGTTTGACATATTAGAGTATGTATGATAACATAAAAAATTATATTATATTAATATGATTTTGGTATATTAATTTTTTCAGTATAAGTGAACTGGATAAATACAATACGAATATATTTCACGAGAATATTAGAAATATTTTAAATATTTTTCAAACCATGATCTGTTTCGGTCCATCAATGAGACCTGGATGCAGTGAAATAATACAAATGTCTGATAAATGGGAGCTAAGCAAGGACAGTTTAGAATCCAAAATCAGTACTTTTACTTTATTCTTAAATAAATCTAAATCTGACCATGCTACAATATTTAAAGAGATTATATCGTTTAAGCTTAAAATTAAATATAATAACAATGTAAGCTCAAACTCAATGTATTGTGATTATGATATTGATTAATTATAATTGTTATTATTATAAAAATTATCATCTCAGAACATTATAAATTACTAAAATAATAATATTTGCCACAATTAATAATATTAAAAAATTAATATTCTTATAAATGCATAAAATTTCTATTTAAATAGTATTAAATTCTATTTAATTCACTATTATTACTTTTAATACAGTTGTATTTATTAACCTATTTAATTTTCTTATCATATGAGCAATGAATATTTAAAAGGAACTCTGTACTTTTAATGTTTTAAAATATTTAGAAATAAATTTATTGGGTATACTACTAAATCGTAATCAATATAAATACTGTATATGTAAATTAACTCTAACATTCAATTGCTCATATTATTAATTTACTTAGTTTACATTTTTATAGCTAACAATAATTTACACGATTTTTGTAAACATGATATGAGATAAATCTATTATATTAAACTATATTTTAATTACATATTGCATGACAATTGTTGTGGAATATTTTGTATGATAATGAAACTAAATATGTAAAAAGTATTATTTAAAATTAAAAATATTTCCTGTTATTGTATATCACATAGAAAACACCCATAAATGTACTGGCAACATTTAATGATAAAATGTTATCTTATAGTGTCAACAACATTTAACTTAATTAAGATCTACAAAAATAATTAAAAACATTTTATGTGTTAATTCCGGTTATTGTCTCAAAAAACACTTTCACTGAACACACAAACAGTCATTCATTGACACAATTAACACACAATTGTTTTCATACAATACAATACGTTATGTTAGTATCGCTGCAAACAATAGCCCTAATCATCGGTATAACTACCGGCGCCCGGTGTCCGCCCCGGAGGTCATCAGCCCCTGTATGTGCGAACACGACACCACCGAATACTACGCCCAACCGGTGTATAACATCCGGTGCCCCGGCGTAGAGGAGTACGACTTGGCGCAGGTGTTTGAGGACACCTCCCGTTCCCTTATGGGTGCGGACGACAAGTACTTCAATGAGTTTGTGCTCAACAACACTTCTATCAAACACTTACCGCAGAATGTCTTCTCCGACCTAACCTTCCGTGTGATCCGTTTGGACGGCGCCTACAGTCTGTCGTATATATCAGTCTCCATTGCCTTATGGGAGCGATTGGAGAGGTTTTCGATGAATTCAATCAAGTATTTCATCGATAAATACACTTAAAATATACAGTATTTCCACTTTAAGTGCCATTTAATTGATAAATACATGATTAAAACACATTCGGATCCCCAATGGATTAATATTGAGATTAATTATTACAATAAAAAATTTATTTAAAAATATTTTCCCACAAGCACAATCATTAATTTTATTATTTGTATGATTTTAAACATGTTCAAATTTATCTATAAGATACGGTATATCTAAAAGTATTATTTGAATTCTTCTTAAATATGAATTATCTGATCTTTTTGAATGCTCTCGGTTAGTTAAAAATTTATATAAACTAATAGAAATATGTTTAAAAAACCAATTTTTTGTAATATATCTGATCATGTTCATGTATTAATTTTGATAAAGTCTAGTTAAAAAGTACCATATTAGAGTGGTATTATTTTATTAGACAAAATTATATGTTAAATACTACTAGACAAATTTTTAAATGTGTAGGTTGAAATAACATTGCGTGATAATTAGAAAATATTACAAAATATAATATAAATTAATCGATTATATGTTATATATAAAATAAACAATTATATCAAATTAAAGTGCCACATAATCTAAATGTAAATGTTTTAATATAAGTAAACATATCCGTGTCGCCAAATTGGTTGATAAGCGAGATAATTAATTTTAGATAAATTAAATAATATCAAATATAATTGTATTGTAATATATTAGAAGGATTAAAATTATAAAAAAGTAAAATAATTTTAATTATTAACATAAGTTATATTATTAGGTATCTGATTAATATAACATCAATGAACATATTAATAATAAAATACACATTAACAAATTAATTAATTTTCATGCAATTTCAATGTTTATTTAACAGTTTGAATGAAATCCCATTTTTTGATAAGTAATTTATTTGTTATAGATACTGTGTGTGTGTGTGAAAGGATCTACGCGTTTAAATATTTTTATCAAAAATATTCAATTGTAGGAGTCAATACTGTTGATATAATGGACGTATAATATACATTTATAATGAAAACCATTTGAATTTAGTCATCAGGTTTGATTAGATTATACCATATATGGTGTTTTTATGGTAAATTGAATTTTTTATTACTAATAATATTACCCACAAACCAGTAGGTATACTTCGACTCTGCTTTTTATGTATTTATTCATAACAAAAACACTTTAAAATCATATAAAAGCAAAAGTTGAGGTACACAATTTAATAATCGTAAATATATTGATAATTTGGGCCTACTCATTTTCTAATTAAACTATGCATTGAGATTTTGTATAAATTGTGAGCACCAAATCACTATTAACTCAATTATATTACTATATTATAAGTCTAATAATAAAGATCGCAATTTTGCAATTTATATTTATTTAACTTATAATGTCTACCTTGATAGGAAAGTTTCGCATTTTCAATGCTGTTAAGCGAATGGTCAATGAAAGCGAAATTCAATTATTTCACGTTTACGGAGAAAACAATCAAGCTAAAAACCTATTATACGTTTCAAACCAAGACTTCGTGTACCGTTGGAATGATAACGATTCGGATGTCAATGTTTACGTCCGACAACTGGATGTCATACAAGAATTACGGGACAAACGCATCCAACAGTTTATCAATGGCTCGGACTTTGTGCTGGCTCTTAATGAAAACAACTTTGTGTTCAGTTGGGGGCACAATGATCGGGGACAGTGTGGTCGAGATATTACAGAAAGTGGTGTTTACTTAGAACCGGCGAAAATACCCTATTTTACCGATAAGACTATCGTACAGATATGCTGTGGTTGTCACCACTCCCTGGCCCTCACCGCTGACGGACTTGTGTACGGATGGGGCGATAATGAATACGGACAGGTAGGTGGGGCTGACACCGAAAGCACAACGATTTCTTCGCCAGTTTTGATAAATTTTGAAAATAATTTTAAAATCAAAAGTATTATCTGCTCCGACTTTACTTCGTATGCCATTACAACGAATGGCCAGGTTTTCAGTTGGGGTGATAACAGTCACCATCTATTGGGACATGATTTGTCAGATTATGTATTGTCACCTAAACTGATCCCAAATCTGAATGATATCAAAGCAATTAGCGTTAAAAATTATGGCGAT